AATTGGTTAACCAATAACCTAATACTAATAAATTAATTAAAAAAATTGATTCAACTTATCGATTTCGATTCATTTTTGAACGACCGCAAAGTAAACACATATATTATTACCGCACCAAATTAATTCGGTGTGGTTTGGATATTTTAAAAAAGAAATGTGGTACTGGTAGTGGGTAACCACATTTGTTCCACTTTGGTATATATATATATATATATATATATATATATATATATATATATATATATATTATGACTTCCATTTTTTCTTTTTTTATTAAAAGAAAATTTCAATTGTATCATACTAACAATTTTTCTTTTTCTGTATAACTATCTTGTTTTAGAGGTGTACAAAATCGAACCAACAATCGAACCAAACCATAAATCGAGTCAAACTGAAAAAAACCCGACTAATGATTTTGTGTGACTTGATGTGGTATTGAAAAAAAAATCCGACTTATACTTTGGTTGGTTTGATTTTAACTAGAAAAAGTCAACTAAAAATCAAATCAACTTGACATTATATTTATAATTTTTAAAATTTATTTTATACATGAAAGTATTTTATTTTTTCATAAGTTATATTTGAAGAAATTTTTAAAGTTTACGTATTAGTAACTCTAATAAAATGCTAACAAAAAATTAATTTCACACTAATTAGAATGACAATGATGTTGAATATTTTTTCTTTAGTTTTACATTGATATAGACATTTAAAATACATAACCTAGTTTTAATTTTTTTCTTTAATGTTTAATCGTGTAATTGATACTTATTAGAATTATTTTAGCATGATTTAGTACTTTTAAATTAGGATCATTTTCAATTTTCATTATGACTTATTAATTTGCAATATTTATTTTATACTAGTTCATTAGTATTTTTGGTTGAAACTCAAGTGTCATTACTCATCTCATATTTTGTGTTATTTTTGTAAGAAGACTTCAAAAAAAACCGAGGTTTAATAGTTTGGTTTGATTTATAAATTAAAAAATTTGACACAAATAGTTTGATTTGATATTTGAAAAATCTAAATCAACCACAAGTTGAAAAATCCAAAACAAACCTGAATTTTATTAGTTTGATTTAATTTATAAAATTAAAAATTTAACTACAACGATTTTATTTGATATTTGAAAAATTAGAACCAATTCGATCATGTTCACCCCTACCCGATTTATTGAAGAATCTGGAGAATATGACCTTGTTGCATCTTCTTTTTTGGATAAATTGTTATTAATAAATATAGAGATACTTAAAATAAAGTACAAGAAATTCCCTTCATTAATTAACTAGATAAAAAGACATTCAATCTGGATAGACTACTAATCAAATATCGATTACTTATTCTATATCTACCATGTTCATCCCTAATTAGAATTTGTTAAATATTTAATGAAGACAAAAAGTATTTATACTAGACAAACTTTACAAAAAAATAAAAAAAATATATATCAATACTGATATTTAAGAAAGTATTTAACAACTTGCATTCATAACGGCAATTGTCGACATCATTTTGCTCCACAAAATCAGGCAATTTTCTGACTCCTGCAAGGAAAATGAGAAATGATATATGTGAGTGCATGCCCACTAATTGGCATTACATGGTTGAAGAAGTATTTGAGATTTTCTTTTCGTGTTAATAAAATTTAAAAAGTTGAAATGTGTTTGTCACAACTAGTATTGGTTTGCACTTTAGCCCAATGATTATTCATTTCTAATCATTTCTCTCATTAATTTAGTAAAATATAACTTTTTAAAAGGAGGAATTATGTAGGTCTTCTTTTTCTGTTATTCAAATTTATTTATTATTTTTATAAAAAAAACTACCACGTAGAAACACGTTGTCATTGTATAACAAAGAATATACAATTAAAAAGAGTTATTAATCAATCAATACATTAATTATTTCTTTTTAAATGGTTTATCCCTTACATTTGTTTAAATGACTAAACATGTTTGCATATAGGATCTGTTTAATCCGAAAAATCTCTAGGATATGCGCTAAAGCCGTCAATATGGGCTAAGTCCGTATGGTAGGTTTGACCTAACACGGAATTCAATAGGACTGGACTAAGATTTTTGGAGTTCATTTAAGAAAAAAGTTTTTTTAACTCGGCTTGAATAAGTCTGTTAATTTGTGAGGTTTGAGAAATATAAGTGGGTCAGCCCGTGGATTAATAAAAATTAATCAAAAGTTTAATATAATATTAAAATTTAAAATTAAAGAGAGTCCAAACTAAAAAAAATTAGATTAATATTTCTATTTAGATATTTATTTTTTTACTTGAAAAAAAACTTAATAAATATCATAAAAATAATTTTATTTGTCAATTTGATTAACAAGCAGTAACACTAAAATCATGTAATTTTATAATTTATTATTTAATTTAATAATTACATAAAAAAAATTAAAAAAAGTGGGCTGACCCGACAAGCATATAGCTCATGTACTTGTAGGTTGGACAAATCATTTTTTTGCTCACGCCAAAAATGGGTTAGTTCTGTCTGACCTGTAATATGTCAAAGCTTATATGAGTTAACTCGGATAGGATGAGCTAGCCCATATTGACAGCTCTAATATGCACTGACAATTATTAAAGTAATATGCATTATATTCAACGATAATATATAGTATTAATTAATTATGAATTGCTTGTACATTTCCTGGGATGAATTCCAGTTGGACAATAAATTTTTTTACTAAGTTAGTTGGTTAATTATCTCAACTTTTATTTTGTTAACGAGTGTTCAAAACCTCACATTATAGATTGAGTTATATGGTAATGTAAAATTTGATTGAGTTATCTAATCATATGCTTTAAATGTTTCTTCTGAATTATTAATTGCAAGTTAATAATACATTATATATAGAAGATTTTTAGCTTCTGATCATAACATCTATACAATGATTAAAACAAAAAGAGGAGGATGAAAAACTACGATTTCTCTGCATTCTAGGCTGGATAATCCTCTAAAAATTGTGTTTATGATGTAAGTATAGGATTCCTAAAATTTCTAAGACGAAAAAAATACCCTCATTTAAATAGAGCACAGCTTTTGACAACTTGGTGATTTATGGCTTTAACTGAAACTTCAAAGTGTAACAAAGTATGATAGTTGAATGTCAACCTTAAGATTCTTATTGACTTCACATCAACAACGTTTAGCATTTTAATATTCATGTTTTTATAATTTAATATGGAGTATAACAAATGTGCAGCATAGTACTTGTTATTTATGTACAAACTATATAAGTTAATTAGATATACTCGTTTGATGTTAATGATGATTGCCCACTAAGTATCCACTTCTTTCTGCTTAAGCTAAGGCACGAGCCTACTAATTAATATTCATAAGTTTATCTTCATAATTTCCAAGTTAATTCTCTCAGCCTAATCAAATCACGGACCATTATGCGTGTAATTGATAACTTGATTATAGATTTGTGTGATATGCACAAATCGTGTCTGTTTATTATTAAAGCAATATGCAATATGGTCAACGATAATATATAGTACTCCATTAATTAATTATGTATTCCTTGGCACGTTTCCTGGGATTAATTTTATATATATATATATATATAATGCGGGTAAAAGTTTTAGCAATATGCTTTAACCAAACTAAGCTATTATATAAAACAATTTACCAAAGTAATACATTTTTCTAAAATTTTACAAAACTAGTATAAACGTATTTCACGGTAACGTTTTAGGGTATATTTTATTTTTTAAAAACTAACAACATTAGGTTGATATACGTTACTGTAAGTAACGTTTTACTCGTAAAACGTTATTTTCAGTAACGTTTTACTCCTAAAACGTTACTGTGAGTAACGTTTAGGAGTAAAATGTTACTGTGAGTAACGTATATCAATCTGACGCCATCAACTTTTAAAAAATAAAATATATCCTAAAACGTTACTGTGGAATACGTTTATACTAGTTTTGTAAAATTTTAGAAAAACATATTATTTTGGTGAATGACTTTATATAATGGCTTAGTTTGGTCATAACCTCGTTAATATGTATATTCAATGTCGCTAAAATGTGTTTTTGTTGTAGTGTAAGTTTATCTTCATATTTCCGATTTAATTCTCTCAGCCTGATAAAATCACCACTACAACAAAAACAATTTTTAGCGGTGATAAATAAGCACATTAATAAAAAAAAGTGTTAAAACCAACATTAGGTAACTGTCATTAGATCCATTGTAGCTAAAGGTTTTAGGAATATATACAAAGAAGGTTAATTGCCGCTAAAAATACATAATTTAGCGACAATTGAACTATTATCGTTAATTTATTACCGCAGAAAATCATTATTGATGTAGAACATGGACCATTATGTGTATAATTGATAACTTTCATTTAAAAATAAATTAACTTTCAGTTTTTATTTTTTTTCATAGAAAAAAATGTCATTGCATATCTAAGATCACAAGTTTTATAGTCACACAAATATTACGATATGTTTAATACTATAAATCTTAAAAAATGTTTCTCAAACTTGATGTAGAATAATCAAATTACGCCAAAAAAAAAAGTGAGGGAGTAATTAATTAATCATTAGTTATAAGATGTTGTTTAATACTACCTCCGTCTCATTTTTATGTCACCTTTCAGATTTCAAGAGTCAAACAAGTCTATCTTTGATCGTAAATTTTTCATAGATCTTATAAATATTTTGAATTATCAATTATTGTGACTAATAGTACTTTTTATGTAGTTTACAAATATATAAATTTCATTTTAAAAATTTTTGAAGATTGTATGAGCAAATTTCTGTCAAAGTTTGACTCTGAAAACATAAGAGGTGTCATATAAATTGGGAGAGAGAGAGTAGTTATTTATTATTTTATGAATGATAGAAGGTGTAATAAACGTGTATAACTAATATATAAAATACACTAAGACATGTTGTATAGTTGTATCCAGCTAGCTAACGTGGCTGATTATTGTGTATATAAGTTGCAACACTTGGTTACTAAAATGAAAATCAAAGTATAGAGATGGGTTCAATATCACGAATTGTATCGATGTCGAGAAAGATAATAAAGCCCTCTTCTGCTACTCCTCCTTCACATAAACGTCACAATCTATCATTGCTTGATTGTTATGCTAATAATGAGTATGCTTCATCAGTCATGTTCTACCCTAAACCAACAATCCCTTCTAATAACATATCTCAACTTCTTCAGAAATCCCTCTCAAAAGCATTGACATATTACTATCCCTTTGCTGGGATGTTAAAAGACAATACCTATGTTGATTGCAATGACAGGGGAGCTGAGTTCTTGAATGTTCGTGTCGATGGTCGTATGTCTGACGTTATCAATTCATGTGATAATGATAGGAGTGGTAAAAATTGTGTATTTCCACAAGGATTGTGTTTTGGAAATACTAGTGATTCTTTTGATGGTAGATTAGCAATGACTCAACTTACTCATTTCGATTGTGGTGGAATAGCAGTCAGCTTTTGCTTCTCTCACAAGATTGTCGATGGATATAGTGCTGGCAAATTTATGAGTGACTGGGCTGCTATTGCTAAAGACCCGAATCATCATGCAATAACATATCCTCAATTCGATGGAGCCTCCTTTTTCCCACCTGGTATTCATGATGCTGGCACATCAGAGGTGAACAGCTTACCAGAGGAAGGACTAGTACAACAACGTTTCGTGACTAGAAGGTATTATTCATTAAATTTAAATACACGTTATAGCTATGTATCTGATTACTGCTCACAAAATTGAACAGGTATCTTTTCTCTGCTTCAAAATTGAACACTCTCAAGGCAAAAATTGTTGATTCAGGATCAGGAATAGTAGGAAATCCTAGCAGGATTGAAAGTGTATCTGCACTTCTTTACAAATCAGCAGCTGCAAATAGGAATAATACATCATTTCGACCATCAACGTTCACACTATTTGCAAACATGCGTCCACCATTACCTCTCAACACTATTGGAAATGCTCCCGGTTATATTTCCACATCAATAGAAGAGGAAGTAGATATGCAGCTACCAAGGATCGTTGCTGAACTAAGGAAAGGGAAAGAAAAACTCCGGAACAGATTCAATACCGTTGATCCTAACAAATTGGTGTTTGAATCATTTGAATTAATGAAAGAAGTGGGACAAGTATATAACAGAGAAGGTTTTGATATCTATAGATGCAGCAGTTTATGCAACTTCCCCTTCTATGGCATAGATTTTGGATGGGGTACGCCACAAAGAGTCGCCTTTTTAATTCCTCCCTGCAACTTCTTTGTTCTGTTGGATAATCAAAACCGCGATGGAGGAGTGGAAGCGCTTGTGACGTTAGAAGAAAGTGAAATGACTGTCTTCCAACAAGACCAACAAATCCTTCAGTTTGCTCGCCCAATATAGTATTTTGGAGTCACAAAAGGGCAACAAAAATAAGTTTGAAACCGAAAGGATAACATTTAAACTGTAGGGTAGACAATGTCCAAATTAAGGTAGTAAGGTGCATGACGACTTACAAGTCGTAGGACTGGTGTAATTATTCTGTCCTGCACCTTGATACCTTAATTTAGATACCGTATATATATCCTACCGTTTAAATGTTAATTCTCAAACTTATTTTTGTTGCCCTTGTAAATTTTCGGTCGTTTTTTTAGTTTCAGTTCTGTTTTTCACCCTCTTTAAACCCAAAAAAATTCAAAGGTCCCATTTTTAAATGTTTATTTACATGTTAAAACTTTTATTTTTCGAACCCCCACTCAAAATGGTCGAACGGATGTCGAGTGAGTTTTTTACTTTTGAAGATTTTGACGTTATTAAGTTTGACGAAAACCAGCATTTCTAGTAAACGATCTCGAAATCAAAATTTTGACAGTTTCTCTTGGTCCGAAAAGTGATTTTTGAGTTGGTTGTACAGTTGATTTGGGTTCAGAGGCATTTTGACAATTTCGCATTGAGTGTTTGCCTGATATTTAATATAGAATCTAAACTCGTTCATCAATCAATTCTAAAAATTATCACAAGGATTCGAACTGGTCATGTAAAGACATGAAAGCAGAGCTGAAACTAAAAAAAACGTGAAAAACAGAACTGAAACAAAAAAAAAACTGTCACAAGGATTCATACTGGTGACGTGAAAATTAATTTCAGGGGGACTTGCTATTGCGCTATCATTTCTCCTTATAATTGAAGGGGTTCAATATACAGAAAATTTACGTTATATATATCGTGTAATTTTTAATCGAAGAGATTCAGGTGAATCCCCTGGAACCCACGTGGATCCGCCCTCACCCATCTCTTCGAGTCACAAATACAATACAAAAACTATGGAAAAGGATAAAACATAGAAATTACGTAGAAAATGAAAAATGATCATATGGATCGTTACATTTCAACATTCTTTTAAATCAGAATTGTCTTTAACTCATCGATCAAAGGTTGTAGACTAAATATCAATCAAACTGTAGATTAAATATCAATCAAACGTTTTTATATTACATGGACCAAGAATAATACTCTCTCTGTTTAAAAAAAACTGATTTCATTTTCTTTTTAGTCTGTTTAAAAAAATGATCTTTTTTTTATAACATTTTAATTTCAGCTTTCCACGTGGCATGTTTAAGGCCACAATATCAACAGGTAATTTTATATATTTGTACTAACTTTTATTTAGGACCACAAGATTTAATCTTTATACTCTTAAACTCCATGTCAAGTCAAATCAAGTTATTCTTTATGAAATGGAGGGAGTAGGGTGTAACACAAATCAATAATGGTGTGAATCCATCTATACACAGATCCATACGAACATTTCTTTGTTTACTGACAAAATCAAGATAAGTTCTATAAAAAAATGTTTCACCATTCTATGGATGACACATAATATTAGGTGTCCTTCTATTTCATAGATTTATCTCATGCAGGAGCGAAATTTTTCGATGAACACAACCTCTTTAATCTAAAAATAAGAGATAAATATTGTAATGACCCAGTCGATCTTTTTGGGAAGTGTCATGAATTTACCGTTTTGTCCCTCCGAATGTCGACCCAAGTCTTCTTAAGATTGAATTTGAAAAGTTAGTTTTGAACTTTAAGTTAAAAATTGAAAATTTGGTAAGTTTGTGAGTTTTAAAGGATAAGTTGTTAAAAAAGTGACTTTTTGAGACTTTTAGAATTTCGAGCGTCGGAATGAAATTCTGTCGATTTCATTTGTAACATCCAACCAAAGAAAGAGCTAAATTGAAAATTTTCTTTATCCCAACAACTTTAAACGTTTTTAGAAATATTTTAGTGGTATGAACTAATTTGGGTCAGTTTTCACAATCCTAAATAGGCTTAGGGTTTCAGATTGAAGTTTAAGAGGAAAAGAGAAGAGGTTCAAGGCATTCGTCAAGATTCTTGAGATCTTTTGAGGAAATTTTGCCAAGGGTTTATCCCTAAGAGGTATGTGAGTTCTCATAATGTTGGGTTTGTTAACCCACATGCCAATCATGTGTTTTTATCCGTAATATCATTCTCGAGGTTGCATGATTTGAGTTCTTGATGAGTTTTCATGAAGTTTTATTCTTAAATCCTTTATGATGAGTTCTTGAGATAAATGTTATTAGCTTGAGGGTTGTTTTTAAGTAAGTTATCGCCGTACTTGTATTGGGTAATTGAATCTAAAGAAAATTTGAGGGAATCAATCAATTCTAGACGAATTAGGATCAGAAAACAAGAAGAAAAATTTGTCAGATTGACCTGGGGAAGGGCTGGCGCGGCTCACCCTTGATGCGCCAGAAGGTAAGGCGCGGCGCACCAGCAGTGCGCCATAATTAAGTCTCGGAAGTTCAGGGGTTGGCGCTTCGTGCCAGGGTTGCCTGCCCCCACCCTTTTCAGTCATTTGCTCCGTCTAAGTCATTTTAAAATGTATCTCTTCTCTCTTAATGATTCTAAATACTCTAAACTACATCTAAACATCAAGAGATCCTTCATAACATGACTCATAACCCTTGAGTTCATAATTCAAATTTAAGTAAGAGTTAAGAGTAAAGTCTTGAGAGTTTTTTTCAAGTCATTTGAGAAGTCGTTACAATCTTTTAAAACTTGTTTTAAGACTTGACTAGTTGAGTATGAGGATGGAAGAATTGAGTTCATTTTCAAAATGTATATATGGGGACTAAGTATTCCCAAGAGTAAATGTTTTTTACATTTAAAATGAGGGAAAACATCATTTCCAAATGAGCTCATGAGAAGTTTTGAGTACTATCTCTTTTAAGAGAAACCTTTAGAGTAATCAAAGTTTGGGGAAGAAGAAATGTTTGTAAACATATGAGTTGAGTTATATTATTGGGAGTAATGCTAAGCACCGATATGTAGACGATTTCTAACAACTCAAAGTTCTTATAAATCATGTAGTCAACATCGGTAGAAAGGGTAATACTATTTAGAATATTCCTTATTGCTTTTTAAGCATAGCTTAGTGGATTCACTTAGTTGAGGATATCTTATACTCCGACAAGGTATAGAAAAGTTCTGGCAACATGGGCGATGTTGGGTATGTAGCAAGAATTGATGGGAAATAAAGAGAAGGAGAGGAATTTTAAAAGTTTAGAACTTGAAAGGTTGGGAACTTGAAAATTCCTCTAATGCTTTAATGAAAAAGGCAATAGTCCCTCATCGGTAATGGAAATGAAAATAGGAGAGTTTAAATAAATAAACACTCCTATTAGTTGTTAAAAGGGTTGGAAAGAGGGACCCCCTCGTGCCGTCGTCGTCGTCGCTCGCTTCGGCTACGACTTTGTCTTTGGCAAACGATCGAGAGATTATTTTTTTGGAAAAAATTATTTTAACTATTTATTCAATTAATTTAATGGCCAAAAATTATTTTCAATTAATTAGTTGATAACAGAAGTTAACCGAAATGTTTTCAATTTTTTAGTTAACCCGACCCGACTCGGATCCTCACTCGTGACCCGTTTTAAATTCCGTTATATTTAAAAAATCCCGCCATGACTGTTCTGAAAGGTTGCAACTTTCAGGAACAGTCAATACCATTTGAAAGTTTGCAACCTTTCATTAATGGTCATGTCAATTCTGAAAGGGTTGCAACCTTTCAGAATATATTCTTCTTTCCTATAAATACCATTCAGTCTTCAGAATATTTCCCTACGAATTTTCTGATCTTCCTTCTTCTTAAAAACACAAGTTTCTTCGTGTACTTTCCTGCTGTGGATTGATTCGCTGACAGTAGAGTTTTTGGTATCTATACTCTACTATTAAGATCATTTTACCCTGGGAGGTTATATTTCAAATCAAACCTCGGATACTAGATGAGAATAATTTCTTTAAGGGGACACTGTGAATTTAGTGGACTTGATTTTCTTCCTAAATTCTCAAAAAGAGTATTCCAGATTCTGGTAAGTTTTATAGATTCAATTATTTTTTACAAATAAATTTCTGTTCATCTTATTTACTGGTTCTAAAAATCCCAGTTACTTCGTGTTTCTACTGATTTATTACAACCAGTAATTTCTGATTTTCATAACACAGATTGAAAACAATCTTAAGGAAATTATTTAAATTTGTGTTTTTGGTGGAGACAAAAATCTTTTTGATTTCATACTCCTTTAAGTCTGCAATTATAATTTATTGCTTACTTATATTGTACTAATTTTGTTTATCTGAAATGGAAAACACTGGTGTTATAGTGGCTGTTGCTGCACCATCCTGAACTCTTGTATCACAAGCAGAGAAACCGGGTAAATTCACAGGTGTGAATTTCAAAGGATAGCAGCAACGAGTATTTTTCTAGCTTACCACTCTTGGTCTACAGAAATTTAC